CTTAAAGTTTCGAATTCAGATTTCATGCGCTGGTGCGTGAAATTTTTAATTATTTTCCAATGTTTGAACTATTTTTGCATAGACAAAGGTACAGAGCAGTGAAAATCATTGATAGGCAATCGTTCGATGGGCTGAATTGCACAGAACGCGTGATCGCACCGGCTAGTCTGGTGCGCTTTGCTACTTATTTTACGTGGGGAGTGGGACTTTAATTCCATGACGGAGACTGCCTTTACATTAACGATTAGGAGAGAGAGAGAGCTGCTCTACAAGCTGCATATCTATCCTTATGTTTTCCCCTCCCCTTATCTGGTGGATTTGCCTGAAAAATCGTCCGATTATCGCTCTTCCCTCTCAGACGAAATCACTGGCAACCGAGCTGGGGCGTGCCTCTCCTCCTCCCCCACAACCCTTTTAGACTGAGTTCTGACTGGAGCTGGTACTCAAATCCGACTGGTACCGGAGTGCCACTCGTGCGGTGTTAAAAGAACGAAGAAACGGCCGCCAATGCGGAAAAGAGGGTCGCATGGAGTTATGTGGTGGCGAGAAAAGATCAAAATTAGAGAAGAATGGAGAAGTTGCCAGGTGTGCTTAAATGGCGCGAAAAAAAACCTAACACGAAACAAAGTTTGTCAAAGTGCCGAAATACTAGAAGATACACACACAAACACCTCCAACATGATCAACAGCAAAGACCTACCCCTTCCCAATGTTAGCACCACTGGCATGCAATGTCTGCATAATGCTCGTCACGGATTGGGAGTGTAGGAAAAAGTAGTGGACAAACACTGAAGGCAATCAGAATAACTCGGCCCGGCTGATGATCGTGGTGCTTTAGACTTCCAGCGCTTCGCTCTATCATCTCTGCCAACACTATTTCGCGGCGCCGCTTGCTGGAGCTTGGCCAGACGCGCTGGGTAGCGCTGCCCTGTGTTTGGCGGCTAAATTACGTGACTGGGGGTGATGGGAGGGAGAACTGGACCTGGTTGGGAGGAGAAGGAAGGAAGAGGGAGGTGTTGGTTGGTAATTGCCTAGGTACAGCTCAGAGGTCGCGATTGAGGCCAGGATAGTGGGAAAGAATGAAGTTGCTAATTAGAGGTTCAGAACGATAACGGTGGCAGTGATTGTAGGTGGTGGGTGCCTCGATGCGGCTCTGAAGGCAGGGATTGGGGACAGGATACAGGAGGGGAAGAAGGGTGCTAGTTAGGAGTTCGAACCAAGAACTGCAGATAGCAGTAAAGAGGAAAATAAACCAAAATGGCACTACAAAGAAAAGTAAATTTAAACAAACCTAATTTGTGAATAAAAGGGATTCATTTACTGAAACTTATGCTTAGGTGAAGCTGAAGGCAAATAATTCCGACAGGATTTACTGAAGCTTATACTTGGGTGAAACTGAAGGCAAATAGTTTCGGTGAGATTTACTGAAGCTTATGCTTAGGTGAAGCTGCGGGCAAATAAGTTCATTTGGATTACACAAGAACTGCCGACATTTCCACAGTGTTGCATCTTGCAGCCTGCCACTTTGCACAACAATTATGCCTTTGTTTTTTTGTCTTCAAAATCTCACTGGAGCAAAGACTGACTTCATCACCAGGCATCCATCCTACCCTGTTTTTGACCACTTCATAGAACTGATTCGCTCTCAGGTTCACCTAAGCATCAGTTTCGTAAATAGGAAAGTCTGATGGCGGGTTTTTGAGAACAATTTTACCCAAACATCAGTTTCATAAATATTTTTTTTTTTTTTTGGAACAACTTTGCCTAAGCATCAATTTCATAAATAAATAAGCCAAATGACGAGTTTTTGTGGAGCAGCTTTACCTAAGCATCAGTTTCATAAAAAAGGAAGTCCCAGGAGCACACTTCCTCATCTTTTCCGTTCTTCACCGCTCCCCTCTGCCCTCAAATGTATGTTACTTAGTCAACCGGAAAAGGATCTACGTCATTTAGTCCTTATATCCACCTATCTTAGCCCCCTCCCCTGCCTCGAACGAAACCCGCCACATACCACCCCCATCTCCACCTGCCACATTCAAACTGCCGCCATCCGCCATGGGGCAGCCCTACCTGTCGTAGGCAGAAAAAATTTTTTGCGGCTTGTGTATGAGACGAGCTGAGCCGAGTTATTGTAATTGCCCAAGGAATGTTGCAAGTGGGTTGGCCGCATCTGGAGGTTTCGGGGGGTTCGTTGGGGTATTCGGCGGCACAGGGGGTTAAGAGGGAGCT